CAGCAGACAGTAGGAGGAATCTCAGAGTATAAGTGCTCTTGTGAGGGGAGGGAGGCTATGGGAGGGTGCCATCTGGGAAGTGGGTGTATATAGTTGAATAAGATGGTTTTGGATGTTCTGTGTGATATATAAATGCACACAAAAAAAATTAACAAATTTTTTAAAATGTATTATATTTGAGGAGGAAGCATGGAAATTTACATTATGTTAATTAGTAGAGATGATAAACAGTACCATTGAAATCTACCCAGTGACTTTATAGACATACACAGGCGCCAAGGATCCATGTGCAACCGATATGACTAGTAAAAATCAGATACAGAGAGATTAGAGATGCATGTGCCAACATCTCAGTATTAGTAACAAAAACAATGAGTCTTTCTGCATGGAACAATATGTTTTAAAATGAAATGGAGATCTTTTTTAAAGGTTAAAAAACTCATTGAATTTTATGTCTTATATGGCTTATACTAACTTCAATTATTGATTTTATAACTATCAATTCAACTTTGAACCTAGAAACTTATAGCCACTTGTGAAAGAGATGTACTCTTGCTCTGGAGTGTGTTACTGAGTATGTTAAAGCTGTAGTGAAATGCTTCTTCTAAGAATATAGTTATTAAAAACTTTTTAAAAATTAAGAGTTAAAAAATAAAATAAATAAAAAATTAAAATATTTATGGTCAAAACAGTAAATTGAATTTTATTTTTATTCCTTTTCAGTATCTCTGTGCATGTGTATCTGTGTGGAGGCATGTGAACATGTGTACATATGCCCAAGGACACCAGCTGCATGGTACTGGATTTACAGGCAGTTGTGACCACCCAGTATGGGTACTGGGACTCAAACGTCCTCTGCAAGAGCAGCCCCAAATTTTATGTATATTTCCCAACAATAAAAAAGATGTGTTTTTAAAGCAGCTCTATAAGATGGGTTTTTTTTTTCTTTTTCTTTTTTATTTATGTGTATTAGTGTAATGACCCCATGTGTGTAAATGCACCTGTGTAACACAGTACCTGCAGAGGACAGAAGAGGGTATCACACCCCCTGGAACTGGAGTTAGGGATGGTTGTTAGCTGACATGTGGGTGCTGGGATTCAAATCCAGGTCTTCTGCAAGAACAGCCAGTACTCTTAGCCAAGGAGCCATCTCTCCAGTCCTGCATTTGTGTTTTTAAAGCAGCACTATATGCAGATGAGCAGGAGCAGTGGCAACATTTGAATGAGGCCCTGGCTTGTATCAGTGAATTTCTCTATTTCTTTTTTTTCTTTTCTTTTCTCCCCCCCCCCCTCCTTTTTTGTCTTTGAGACGGTTTCCAGCTGGCCTGGAACTTGCTGTGTAGACCAGGCTGGCCTTGAACTCACAGAGATCTGCCTGCCTCTGCCTCCCAAGTGCTGGGATTAAAGGTGTGCACCACCATGCCTGGCTGTCATTTCTGTACTTCTAATGTTCTGTTACTTGTTACAAAACGAAGTGCTGGGGCTGGAGAGCTGGCTCAGCGGTTAAGAGCATGGACTGCTCTTGCAGAGGACCCGGGTTCGATTCCCAGCACCCACATGGAAGCTATAAACTGTCCTTAACTTCAGTTCCAGGGGAATCCGAAGCCCTCTTCAGACTTCTGTGGCATTGCACGACATGGGTGCACTAACATACATGCAGGCAATATACTCATACACATAAAATAAAAATAATAAAATATTTTTTAAAAACAAAAATGAAGTGCTTATTGTATAAGGTTATCAGTGATAAAAAGAAATAATGCAGATTCCTGAAACAGGTCAATAAACATTATTTCCTCCTCCAAAAAAAAAAAAAAGTGCTGAAACACGTAATTATACAGTATAGGAACAATTGTTCGTTTCTAGGTGACATATTTTAACAAAGTAGAATTTTGCATAAAATATCCTATAAAACATGTTTTTGGTTTGTATTCAGTTTGTTCATTGTTCATCTTATTTGTGTGGGGATTCAAATATAGAAACAGTATTTAAAGAATAATTGCACTTTGAATTTCTTATTTGCAAATTTCCATCTTAAGTAAGAACTCTAACTGCATCCTAAATTTAAAACATTATAGATTGAAAGGCTATAATATAAGAAGGTTTGTTTCTAAAGAATTTCTATCCCTCAAGATTGCATAAAGAAATTCTAATTAAAATAAGAGCTTATCACAGAGCAGCACTTGGGCCTTGGTGTGCAGGCTGTGGTCTACAGGGGAGGCAGCACAGAGCCTTGCATCATGAGGGAACTAATCCTCTTAGACCTGTGCTCTGATTCTGGTATTCTCTGTGATGGCAGAACTTTCTTGTAGCAATTTCTAGTAAAAGAAAAGCCACTTTTAAGAGTAAAAGTCCCTTTTTGACTTATTTTAAGTGTATCCAGCATGGAATGTTTTTCTGTCAGTTTCTTTTGTGTACGTGTTATGTGTGCATGTTAATGTATATGTGCTTGTATATGGAGACCAGAAGTTGAAACTGGGTGTCTTCCTCAATCACTTTCCACCTTGTTTTTTGAGATAGCATCTCTTGATGAACCTGGAGCTCAATGATCTGACTAGACTGGCTAGCCAGTGAACTGTAGGGATGAATACTCCTGTCTCAGCTTCCCAAGTGCTAGGATTACAGGTGCATGCTGGTATGCCTGGCTTTTTACAAGAATGCTAGGGATCCAGACTCAGGTCCATGTGTTTACATGGCAGGAGTTTTACCCACAGAGCCATTTCCCCAGGCCCTGACATTTTCTTTTATGGTGTTGTGAAAGTTAAGGCACTGGCGGTCCAGAGCCCCATATCCTGTGATAAGAATGTCATTGTATGGAATAAGATGGAACATTGAGCCTGCATCTTCTTTTTCTTTAGGGAAATAATTCTGAAACATTTTAAATTAAATCTTCATAAAATGAAGTCAGGTCTTGAACATTTACCTAATATTCTTTCTAAAGTGGTAACATTGCTCAGTTGACTATAGAACAAAATAAGTGTCCTTAATGGTCTACATATTTTCAAATCCTTTAAAAATAGCGTCATTTCAGAATTATTGATATTTAGAGTCCTTTGATAAATTTACCCAATAGGATCCTAATACCTAGACATGATCTAAAGTGGCATTTGGCGGTGATATTTTGTTTTGGGTCCTTTTTGAGACATACTAAAAGACATTGAAGCATTTCTCCTTTCTGGTAGACTGTGTCTTCCCGTTAGGTATGTTTAGCAATCACCGTATTTCAGCTGAGCTGCTCTTGTGGTTTTCTCCTTAGGAGTCACATTGAAAGACCAAAAGAGCAAGTGAGATAAGAGCATCAGTCGGTTAGGCACAGCATGAATGCGGGCTAGACGTTCTCACAAGCATTGCCATGGACACCATGCTTCCGGTGGCCCTTCACGTGATTAACACTTTGCTCACTCTCAAATTTATCTTCACTATCTGGGAAAATAAAACAGCTCACCAGGTTAGAATGTATTTGTAAGGAAATAAATACATAATTTAAAATTTAAACATTTGATTCTACTATATATACTAGTTAAATGATGGCCAAAGAATGTTTTTCCCCTCTGTGAAAACTTAACCCAGAGATAAATCTCATTCCCCCCCCTCCTCAAAATATGCAAGGTTAAAGGAAAAATAACATAAAGCCTTATCTCATAGAGAAGGGGCCAACCAGCTGCCATCTTTCATTGATGCACAAAACTTACCTAGTCACAGGTTTGTCAGGGAACCAGGTATCTGGCCAGGGCTGTTGAGGGAACAAAAGTCTAGAACACAGTGGTGTACGTCATGGATGAGTCCTCAGCCTTCATTTCTCATTGAATGAAACTGAGGACAGCCATCTTTACACAGTCTCTCACTGCCAGTCCTTACTAACAGTCACTTAGAAGCTGAAATCAATAGCAAGAGCTGACCTGCACTTACACCATCTGTGCACAGGCCGAGCCAAGCTTGGGAATGTGACTTGGCTGAGGGAAGTCCAGAGTGTCATTCATCAATTAGACAATGTTTGTTAACTGTACACACCAAGCTTCATATTTCTTGCTCTAATAGCCCTCTGCATTTTCAGGTCATTTATTTTAAGGAGGAAAAATCCCGTTTTCTGTTTTGAAATTCAAATACTTCCACAGGAGGACCAATTTTGATTGTCGGTGTAATGAATTTGAGAGTTACTCAAGGCAGTGATGTGAAAAAATGAAAACACTTTTCCCTGAGATAAAGCAGTAATATCAGGAAGTCAGAGTGAAAACACAGCATTTAGCTGATTATTTTAATAGTGGTATTTCTTTCAAATCTTAAAGCACAGTACTTGTCTCCAGTGAGAACTGGTTTAAAAAAGAAAAAACTAGCAAAACCTCCTGTAGCTTCTTCTGTTCACTTCTGGATGAGGCTCAAGAGCAGTTAGTCTGGGCCTGGAGGGCAGAGCAGTGGCTTGATTTTAAGAGAGTACCCCAGTCTCATGGGAATTTATCCTTTGGCTCTTCTGTTGCAAGACAGAGGGGGATGTGATCAGTGAGTATCAAGTTAAGAGACAGGAGAATGAGGTACACAGCACATTGATAGGGATAGAGTGGGCCCTCTACAGAGATGTTGCAGCTATAGAAAAGTGGGTGTGGTGGAGGGGCCCACTGTGCTCTAAAGCAAAAAGCCCTGCATGTGAATTAGCCAGGGTTAACGTGACCTGTCTAAGACTCGTTTTTATGAGTCTTAGATATTTTTTCTGCCCCCCCCCCAAAAAAGTGGCTGACTATATTTCTGAGGGGGGTAAAAAACACTACAGTTTTGTTCCAACCTTTAGTTTCAGCTGCCCGTTACTACAGAGGCAAACGTTAAATAATTGGCTCCACTAAGATAAAGTTAGTTATTCAACCATCTGGATCTCAAACACAATAGTATATTTTTCCTTTGTTTACTTTCTGGTAGACTTTTTGTAAATGAGGTCATTCCCTTATAATTCCACTTCTTCTTATAGTCAGTGAACTCACAGATTTGTCTCTTTCTGCCTTTTCTTCCAGTTTACCTCAGTGTCCCCAGCAGTTCCTGAATTCTTGAAAACTCCTCCAACTTCGGACCAGCCTCCCACAAGGTCCACAGCTCCTGTCCTCCCCACGAACACTGTGTCCTCAGCAAAGCCTGGCCCAACACTGGTGAAGGTGGGTACCGGGGCACAGCACTAAGATGGCTCCACTTGGCAGCTCTTTCTGAAACCCGTGACTCGAAGATAGGCATGTGTTTGAGTCCCCACCTGCCTTTTAGCCCTCGGCTTTTAAAACTAAACTTTGGACCAGGTCAAATCATGGCCTGTCCTCTCACAGTAACAGAAAAATGACGCAGATTTTGACTTCTGTGAAAGTGCTGGGTGTGTAGCAAGGCTTCGGGAAGTCTCAGTCAGCAGTTCCCAATATTGCTGCTGCATGGGCCCTGAGCTAAACTGAGTCAGATGGACTTGCTTCAGCACAGCACTGGAGGTGCACAGGCCTCACAAACAGATGTCTTTTTTGTTGTTCTTTCAGAGACAGGGTCTACCTGTATCCCCAGCTGGCCTAGAACGCGCTATAGACCAGGCTGGCCTTGAACTCAGAGAGATTTGCCTCCCTCTGCCTCCCAAATGCTGGGATTAAAGGCGTGTATGCCTGGTGCAAACAGATGTCTTTAATGACGACAGAGCTTTGGACTTTATACACTAGGTCAAACTCAGTGGTATTCCAGATATAGTGCATCACAGGTTAAAGGTTTTAGAGAAGCAAATATGTCTTTTGATTTAGTCGTTTTGGCCAGAAGCAGCTTGGTTTGTTCTCAGATAAGCCTCAGATTCATGGCGCTGTTCCCTGCAGTTTTCTTGGTTGGAATAATTCAGTTAGAATAAATCCCAAGGAAGAAGAAAAGTTTTCATACACAGTATACATTTAAAGTTCTTAAAATGCTATTTCAAATTTCTAAATAAAGTGGTGGGAAAAGTAAACTAAGGAATAGTCCATTTCATGGGTGGCTCTTGCAGCAGAATTCATGTCTCAAACCTTTAGAACTAAAGAAAGACATTAGGGCTAGCTCACCTCTTGCCACCATGCAGAGGAGAGTGACCCCAAAGGAGTTAAGTGGCACAGTGAGGTTGGAGAGATGGCTCACAGGTTAAAAGCACTGGCTACTCTTGCAGAGGACCTGGGTTCAGTTCCCAGCACCCACATGGCAACTAACAACCATTTATAACTCCAGTTCCAGGGGATCTGATGCCCTCCTTCTGACCACCACGGGTATTGCACTTACCTCTATGCAGGCAGTATACTTATAAAAATAATAAATAAAGATTTTTTCATATTATTTTTATTTTTTATGTGTATATGTGTATTGCCTGCATGTAGGTAAGTGCACCTGTGTTGTGCAGTGCTCAAGGAGGACAGAAGAGGCTGTCGGATCCCCTGGAACTGGAGTTACGGACAGTTGTTAGCTGCCATGTGGGTGCTGGGATTCGACCCCAGGTCTTCTGCAGGAACAACCAGTGTTCTTAACCTCTGAGCCATCTCTCCAGCCCCTAAATAAAATATTTTTTAAAAAGAAGTGGCACATCCAAAAGCCCGTCTCCCAAATTCCATTCCAGCCCTTTCCTGCCCTGAAGCCCACAGTGCCTTTCAGATGACCATGTTCTTTTCCCTCTGTCCACCAAGGCTGTCCTTTTCAGTGGGTCCCAGGGCTTCAGCTTCAGGACTTGTATCAGCATATTCTACCATCTTGCCTTGCTTAGCCCTGGAGCCAGGAATTCCACAGAGTGCAAGTGGCAGTTGTGCCAGTGAAGTCCCCTGTTACCTCCTCTACCAGCATCTCCTACACCCACATCTCCCAGTAGCACAAAAAGAGCCAGGATGTGAGCCTCTCTGCTGGTACTGAAAGCTGGCCATCTCCTCTCCCATTCTCTGCTTTTAGCAAGGGCTTTGGCTCAAGGGGAAGAAGCACTAATGAAGAGCGTGAAGTTCCAGGATTGAGTAGGGAGTCCTGGACTGTGCAGAGGAAAGCATGGTTACATGTTGGGAAGCTGACCACAGTTCTCTGCTTTTCTCTCAAGAAAGCAGGTTTCTACCTTCATTTACTGAAAGAAAAGAGGTACATTGTTAGGTAATAGATTTGGTCTGAGGAATCCTGGCTATTGTGTTTCTATACCCTGCCTCCAGGTATCTTCTGAATTATGCCTGGCTCAGTTCCTTTAGCAATCAATTATATTCACACCCCATTTTGAATATAAATTATTCCAGACACCATTCACTCTTTTGATCAATTTGAAAAGACTAATTATTGGTAGTGAAGTAAGCAGATAGCCTTGATTAATACTGTGAGATGGTAAGGCAGGCTTAAAAGAGCAGAATGTGCTCTGTCAATAAGACTTGCCTCAGGAGCCTCATCATTAAAGATCTTTCTGATAATTACTATCATTCCTTTATGGATACTCCTGGGTGTCAGGCACTGTTCTAAGTACTGGGAGATGAAGCATCGAACAAAACATTACAAATCCACACCTCTGCAGTAAATACAGCACAATACAGCATGGGAAAGAATCATGAGAGGACAGAGTGCTGGGGAGCCAGGGGCTGGGGCTTCTGTTTCAATTAGGGTGATCTGACAACATATTCAGATGACCTTTGGGTGGAGACCCAGTAGAGGGGAGGCTGTCAGCCTGTCCTCAGAGTATACATCTCCGCACAAGGAAGCCAGTGTGACTGTACCAGAGATGGCCAACATGAAAAATAAGCTACACAGTAGGGAGGGGCAGGGGCAGGAGCTTTAGGGCCTCCGGAGAAGGTCAGCTTCTCATGGCTGCTGTGAAGAGAAGCCATTGGAAGGGCGAGAGCTGCTGTGTTAGAAATGGGGGTGGGGGGAGACTGAGTAAGCAAGAGCACTTACTGCTCTTGCAGAAGATCTGAGTTTAGTTCTCAGCACCCACACCAGTTGGCTCATCTTTTAATTTCAGCTCCAGGAGATCCAGTGCCCTCTTCTGGCATCCTCAGGCACCAGCATTCATGTACATGTATATAT